AGAGCAGCCGGCCGCGGGGCGGGCAAAAGAAGTCTCCCGCGCTCCTCCGCCGGAACTAGGGGCCCGAGCAGAAAAGAAGGAGCGCCGGGCCGCGGCGCCCCAAACCCCGCAGGCCGCACCCAGTCGACAGGACTCGGACCCTCAGAAGCACGTTTGCTTCCAGAGTCAGTGACGCGCTGCTCCTCCGCTCCGAGAGAAAAGGAACCCGCAAGGCTCGTCCGGTCCGGCCCGCCCTCGTCCGCAGGGCGCGCGCCCAGCCCCAGCCCCGGCCTCGCCTCGCCTCACCTCACATCGTTGGGGTCCCGGCCCGTGAGCTTGCGGATATTCTCATCCACGTGCTTGAGGCTCTCCTTGGCCTTTTCCAGCTGCTCCTGCAGCGCGCGCACAGCCACCGCCATCCCGCCAGCAGCGCGGCCTAGCCAAGGGCCTAGCGCAAAGCACCGCTGGGTAACGGAGCGAGATGCCCCGCCCACAAACTACTCGATCCGCCCTACAACCCGCCAGTCACAGTGCTCGGAACCAGAGTGACACCAATAGGAAATCGCCGACCGTCCAGGTGCGCCAATCACCATGTCCCGACCAGAAGCGACGACGCCTACAGCCTAGCCGCGTGCGACGCATCTGCCAATTAGAGAGCCCATGTCGGAGTGACAAATCGCCAGCCCCATCACCAGTCTTCCCTGCTTGCCATATCTGCGAATCACCGAAGGGACAAACAAAATGACATAGATCCCAGCCAACCAGCACCGTTTCCTTTCTTCCTATCAACCAATCAGAAGCAGAGTAATACTGTCCATCTCCACCCACTCCGAACTCTCTCAACTTTCCCGCCCCACCCCACGCCGAGGCCCTTCAGAGGCCATGAGGCATAACTAACAGAAGCGGGGAGTAGCCAATCAACTCTTACTTTCTTACAACTCAACCAATGCAAAAGCATGTTGTTTGGGAACAAGAAAAGAGCGATTCCGCGCAAGGCCTGGCGTTTAGCCAATCAGCTCACGTGCTGGTGTCTTCTTTTTTTCCCCCTTCTACTCATGCAGCCGGCCCGGGATCGCCTCTCCTGAGGGGAAGCCGCCCTGGCTGCTCGTTTTGCGGGGCAAGATGAGCTGCCTGCTTGGCGCTGTTATTCTGCCTTTCCCATTGCAGCGCGGTGTCTCCCCTGCTGCGCATTCCCCTTCGCTGCAGTGGGAAAGAACCGAGCTTAGTGCCCTGCCGCCCCACAGCCTGCCCCGCTCCGGGGTGCGCCCGCGCTGCCGCGACCCTTCGTCCTCCGCATGATTGTAGGGCCAGGTCCTCGGGGCAATTCTGTGTCTCTTCTAGTTCTGCCGATCGTGCGGAGAGCTCCAAGCTGAAGTCCAGCTCGCTGCCCAGGTTTTTATCGCTCGCAATGAGCCGAGTAGCCAAGTCTCTCTGTTCTGGCTTTAAAATTCCTATGGAATGGAGGTGACTGTTCCTCGTATTCGCTAATTTCGCTCTATTTTACTACATCCAGCATTGGGTCATGATGAGCAGCTCACAGAGTTGGCATGAAGTAAAAAAATACATGTCTCGTTGCTCAGTAGTGACTCAATATTATTTTGGTTTAGTTTAGGTAAACGAAATAAGCTAATTACCCAGCTAAAGTCAAGAAGCAGGGAGACATGAATGAAAGGGGTTCATTATCCTGGTGCTGGGGGATATTGATGGCCTGACTAAAGTCTGTGACTCTAAAATAGAGTGAAGAGGACACAAGATAAATGTGAAGAAAGGCAGTAGAAACTTTGATCTCTAACATTGTTGCTTTACTTTTCCTTAGTTTATTCAGTTTTCTCTACAGAGATAGAGCTACTAGAGTTGCCAGGTGTCTGGTATTCTACCAGACAGTCTGGTTTTTGTGCCCTCTGTCCAGTAAAAAAAAATTCAGAAAATATCAGACGTGCAATAGCTGTTAGTTTCTGTTTTTCTGGCTGGGTGCCGGACGGAAGCCTGGTTGGGGTGGGGGAAGTAACAGGGAGGTGGGACCGCAATCGGTGCTGGGAGCCTGTGGTACCATGCAAAAGCTTGGCAGGGATGGGGGGGAGTGGCTGCATGCAACCACAGGCTCCCATTGCCTGCCTCCCAGCTTGGAGCCTGTGGGTGTGTGCAGAAGCCAGGTGGGAGGGGGGGAGGGCTGTGGGTCCCAACCACTCCCCCTGCCAGGCTTCTGCACACACAACCAGGCTGTGTCTATACTGGTGCGATCTTGTGTAAAAGTGGCCGCTCTTGCACAAAAACTTGCTGCCTGTCTACACTGGCCGTGTGTTCTTATGCAAGTAAACTGACGTCGTAATGTATGAAATCAGGGCTTCTTGTGCCATAACTCTGATGCTCCTGCTCACGAATAAGCCCTTTTGTGCAACTGTTCTTGTGCAAGAGGCCAGTGTAGACAGGCAACATGAATTTCTTGTGCAAGAAAGCCCTATGGTTAAAATGGCCATCAGAGCTTTCTTGCGCAAGAGAGCGTCTACACTGGCATGGATGCTCTTGCGCAAAAGCACATGCCAGTGTAGATGCTCTCTTCTGGAAGAGTTTTTGCAGAAGAACTCTTGCGCTAAAGAGTTTTTGCGCAAGATCACGCCAGTGTAGATGTAGCCCCAGAGGGAGTCCCAGGCTGGGAGGCAGGGCTGTGATTGGTGCTGGGAGGAGGAGAAGCCCAGTCCCTGCTCTTGAGCGCTGTTGAAGCGCGTTGTGGTGCTGTAGTCCAGGAAAGAATCCTGCAGGTGCTTTGTAGTTGCCTTTAGGTGCCTTCCATGGGCTCTCAGCCAAACTTATTGGGGTGGAATTTCTGCTTCTTCCCACTGGGACATCCAAAGACTTGGCTATGGAGGAGTCACCTTCCTACCCATGTTTGCCCTCCCCCCACTGTGTTGCCCCAGGGTCTGCCTCTCTCTGCTTTGGGTAGCAGGCGGCTTCTTTGCAGAGCAGGCTGTGCTGCCTCCCCCTTTGTTCCCAGCTTGGTGGCTATTGGTAGTAGCCACACAGGATGTATGTGTGGTGTGGGTGGTATTTTTTTGGGAGACCATCTGGCAACCCTAGAGCATGCCAGTTATAAACTCACATCTGCCTCCCTACCCTACATACCCTAGAACTGCCAAGACTTTCTCCTGTAAACTGCAGTTTGTCTCCTTTATAATAATTGTGAGCCACAAAGTGCACTCTGGCACTAGTTTAAAAACAGGCAAAATACCATTGACCAAACAGTATTGGTAGAATGATTATAACAGCTTCCAGAGCCAGTAATGCTACTGGCTGTGCAAGTTTAAAATAGATGAATGAGACCAGTGGCTGGGCGTGGGCGTATAGGGCAACGATATATCTAGGCTCTGTGGAGAAAAGGGATTTTACTGTATTTCAGGCAGATCTCAGAGTATTTTAAAATAGCTGCTACTAACATGGTTGGCAAGTTTCACACCCACCATCCTTTCCCTCTACCTGGGACTACGGCAGCCCCTCACCCTAACTTGGCACCTACCGCTCCTTTGCTCTGCGCCGCCCCCCGCATCGCAAGGCGTAGCGCGCAGCCCCCACCCCGTATCCTTTTTTCCCGGCGGGCGGAGCCTTAGGAGCCTGACAGCCGGAGCCCCGCCCCTGCCCGGAAGCCGCCCGTTGCCTTGGTAGTGAGGCCGCGCTGCTTCCCGGAGCGGCCGGGGCCCGGTCTGGGACGGAAGGAGCCGGGGAGAAGGGCGGCAGCGCGAGGCCCTCCAGCCGCCGGCATGGCCAGGCCGGAGATGGCGGACGAAGCGCTGTTCCTGCTGCTGCATAATGAGATGGTGTCTGGGCTGTACCGGGCCGCGGAGCAAGGCGAGGGGGTGAGGTGGAAACTGCCGGGGGAGGGCGGGAACTCGCACACATTGACCTGGGAGCGATCTGCCGGGGGTTCCTTAATCCAGCTGGTCCCTACGCTCCTGTTTGGCACGATGCCTGTGCTCGGAGTAGACCTCTCCCGCCAGGGCCTCTATGCCAGGAGCACCGTGGGGGACAGCCCAGCCTGGCGCTGTCCTGGCCGAAGCTAGAGAAAGAAAGACATGAACAGGTTTATTTTCTGAACTCAAAATACTTGCTTTTTCTGTAAATTCTTTCAGGAGAGCCGGCTGGACGGCTCTAGTAACCTGTGTTTGCAAAGGGAGGAGCCACAACTGAAATAGCATAGTCTATAGCTAGAGGCCATAAGGAATGAATGAACTCTTATTTTCCTTGTACGCCTTTACCGTAAGTCTGAGGTTAACAAAATATGTAAAAAAAACCTTTTGTATCTTCTAGGAAAATGGACGATGCATCACTAAATTGGAAAATATGGGGTTTAGAGTAGGACAAGGATTAATAGAAAGGTAAGAATGGTGTGATTTTAAAAAAGTGATACCTTATAACCCCTGCATCTCACTTTGCTTTCTCCTCCCTCAAACTCTTTTTCCCTAAAATAATATACCATGTAAACTGGAGCCTTCCATAAATGTTTTGAATTGAAATAAGGTTTACAAATCTAATGCTTTTTTAAGAGACAATATCTGCTTCAGATCTTTGGTAGAGAAGCTGACTTTAATGGGTTATTGAATACTTTTGTTAGCAATCTAATCATTTCATCTTAAAATCACCCATAATTCTTGGATGAATGCAACCTTGTACATGTGATTTATAGTTCTTTAATTGTCACTTGTTCTGAATCTAGCAGCTTCTCTTCTGACACCTCCATTCTCTTATGGTTTGTATTTATTACTTAAAGATAGCTATCTCCCCTGCATCTTCTGTGGTAAAGATATTACATAGTTCTTCTAATGTCCTTGTCCTCATGATTTGGTCCATTTAGGCCTTGTCTACACTATAGAGTTTTGTGGATGCAAGTGTCTAAATGTGTGTATGTGTCTATAGATAGATATAGTGTGTGTCTATATGTATCTGTATGAATGAATAATGCCAGTGAGAGGGTAGTTGGATGTAAACTACATAGAGATGGAAAAACATTTATTAAAAGTAATAATAAATCACCTCTAGCTCACTCTTTTTAGAAAGGTGTGGCAAATGAAAACATATGTATTTGTATCTAGGGAAAAGTTCTTTTGCCATATTTGATAGGTGTTTTGTTTTCAAAATAGCATCCAATAGTGTGCCACATGTGAGCAACATGTTTTCAGACAATCATTTTAATATATAGTCCTGGTAGGGATATTAATGGTTAACAGCCCTGGGAGGGCCCACCACAAGTGGGGGCTACTCCATCCTGGCTGGAGCAGCCCCCAACTGAGGCAGGCCTTACCTGTTTAATTGGTTAACTGGTTAAACTTAATGTTTAACTGGTTAACTAAATAAACAGGATTTTATATCCTTAGTCTCTATCTAATGCATATATCTGGAGCATCACACACAACATTAATTTTGGTTTTTTGCTTTACTTTAATAGTCAGTGCTGTTGAAAACTTTCTGCCTCCCTCTCAGCCATTCTTTTCCCATGATTAAGTTATTAAACTCCAAGATATTGGTTCCCGTATAATTTTCTCACATCATGTGTAACATAAAAGCAACACACAACACTATGTATACATGAGGAATAGTGGCCTACGGAGCCTGTTTGGAAATTTTTAACTGTTGTATATTTAAATCTCAACCAGTATTGCATATAGCTTTTTTTGGCATTTACTTGATATAGTTAATTGAGGCAGTCACTGTACACCTTTATTTATTTGAACAAAATCAACCTAATCGTTTCTGCTTGCTCTTAGGTTTACCAAAGACACTGCCAGGTTTAAGGATGAGTTAGATATTATGAAGTTCATCTGCAAAGATTTTTGGACTACTGTATTCAAAAAGCAAATTGATAATCTAAGAACCAATCATCAGGTATTAATATTGTAGCATAAGAATTGATTTGGTGGCGCTTGTTATAAACATTTTATTATTTTGAAGGTATAATATTATTTTAGCTTGTCTTGGTCTGAAATTTTCCATCAGAGAGACCTTTTTCTTTATATGATCTTAGTTTAAAAAGTAGCAGTCCTTAGTTAAAAATAATTGTTTTTGATACTACTTTCAATGCAGACTTGACAATAATAAAAGCTTATTGTGATGTTATTGTATGTAACATTTAAAAAGACTAATGCCTATATACTTAAAGGAATTTAGGCTTCTATTGATTTTAATGGAAATTAGCTCCTTAAATAACTTTGAGGATCCCGCTCATATGGCTCATGGCCTTCATCTATAGAGCTAGCCAGTTCTCAAAGCCATAGCAGAATCATGTAAACAACTGTTTTCATTGTTAGAGACTTAAATTTCTAGTGCTTTTTCCCAAGAATCCATGATATGGCATAGTTCTCATGATAAAATTGGGGACAGGGTGACTTGTAGTGTGGGTACATGAGGGGGAGGGGGATGGCTGCAAAAGGTAAACTCTATATAAAGTATTTAACTTCCAATGGGTATTTTATCACCATACAGTTTAACAAGGAATGTTTGCAGATTAGAAACTGCACACTCAAATCTAATAATTTGTTCTTAATTCTAATAGTTATTATTTTTCCAAAATATTTGAGATCTGTCATAGAGCTTTAAACAATATCAGATTTACATATATCTTTACATTCATTTTGAATAATATTAGGATTTGAATCATCATCCTTACCTCCTACTGTCAAAAATTAAACTTGGAGACATTTTCATTGCATGCTAGATCAGCCTGTGCTGTTTTTTATATATATAAAATATTACTAATACATAAAGTTACATGGCACCTTTTTTAATAATGCAGAAATTGATTATTAGAATCTGCTTTTATGCAGTTCATATCATGGAATATTCCTGTTCATATCCTCTCCAATGACTATTCATCCATAAATTAGTTTGGGAGAAAGTAGTGGAAAAAATACTTAGTTTCTTAAGTATTAAAATTAACAAATATTAAAATATTAGCAATATAACATTTAATACAGTAGCAATGCTGTTAAAATTACTCATCAGCCATGGAAAGATTTCTCCCAATTATATGTAAGTCATCAAGCAAATCCCAGCTTCACAACTTTAACCCTTGGAAAGTTTGTGCCAAAACTAAGTTAGGTATGCAGATACTACAATAACGTTCACAACTTTAACCCTTGGAAAGTTTGTGCCAAAACTAAGGTATGCAGATACTACAATAACAAATGTGCTTTGCAAACCTGAGTATGTAAGTCATTAAGAATTCTAAATATAAGGAAAGTATCTTCAGAAAACATTACACTTTCTTATCTGCAAGTTGATAATATAGATTAATACAATATTGTGGTTTTGTATAAGCTTTTTCCATGGTTCCTTTAAAATTTTATTTTATCTCTCCCCGACGTCATTATGGTCTCTAACTGCAAAGCCGCCTTATAGAGGGGGGTTGGTGAGAGTAGCAAGCATGGGGCATAGCCCCCTAGTAAAACTTTTAAACAAGGTTTTTCTTTACTTAGAGTATAAATCTAGTTTTTTGTTTAATTTGAAAGTATTTCACTGTATCTGTAAATGTTTTACAAAAAAAGAACTGATTTTTCTCCCAAAAATGTTGATTACAGTCTTTTGCTAAATATCCTGCTAAAGGAAAACATCGTTTCTTATAGGGCATCTATGTACTTCAGGACAACAAATTTCGTCTCTTGACACAGATGTCTGCAGGAAAACAGTATTTAGAATATGCACCTAAGGTATTCTTCATCTGGAGCCTGGGATATTAGCAGTTTTACATCTGTATTATCTTGATTCAGTTGTAAAAAATCTTATGACTGGAGTTGTGTGGATAGAAAAGGTACAAAAATGTGTTTGAAGAGCATTTTCTCTGTAAGTGTTAGACTAGATATTAGTAAGGTTTCATATTGTATTTAGGTAAATATGATTGGTGAGTCAGGAAATAATTGTCATAATGTTAATGCCTAGCTGTGTCAAGTTTGAGTAACTTGTCTGACAGACCTAAGTCTGCAAAGTGGGGAGGTCTTCTCTGCCTGTGAGTGGAACATCAACAAACAACACACCTTCCTCTATCTGGAATGCTACAGTGGGAATGACCATTAGCCTCACAAAACTTTTTTCTTTCCTTTTAGTAGAAAGCAAATATAATCAGGAACTTTCCTTTCTCTTCCACTCCTTTTCTCCTAATTCCCAAGAGATGCTGAGATTATACTAAAATGATGCTTACACAAGCTTTCAATTATGTTACCTTTTTTTAAGACACATCTTCCATCACATTTTATAAATAGCTCTGTTTTATTAAATTAAATACTGTTGCTAAAATAATAGGTTAGATAAATTAAATCAGTACCTCTGCAGAGACTCTGCTGCTCTGAAGTAGTTTTAGTCAGAGTAGATGTTGGAAATGGAGTGTTCAATTAAATTATACTATCTTATAAATCTTAGATTATATTCTTAACAGAAGAAATGATTGTGGACCGTTATATAATATTGGGTGAAGTCCTGGGAGATTTGCCTATTTCTGTCTTGTGTACTTGAGATACTGTTTTTTACATTTTTCTGTAAAAATATTTAGAGATATCATTAAGATCATAACACTTACCTGTTTCTAAGGATAAGCTGAGCCTTGATTTGCCAGCAAGTATCTTGAATTTAAAACCATTCCTTAAGTAGTCTGATGTTAATTTTATATTAGGGATGTTATATATCAGGTAATTGAATAATCATGTAACCACATGAATCCTTATTGATTACATGACTATTCAATAGACCCTGTGGGCGGGGCTGGCAGCCAGTGTGCCCTAGCCTCACTCCAGGGAGCCCCCTGCTACCTCTCTATCAGAGGCAGCAGTGCGGGGTGCCAGAAGGGAACTGGTCTGTGAGGGGAGCCAGTTTAAGAACCAGCTCCCTGTGCAGGCCAGATGCCTGCTGCTGCCTCTGATACAGACGCAGCAGTGCAGGTTGGCAGCAGCCCGTGTCTGCGGGGAGGGTCTGAGCTCCCTGAGGACAGAGGCTGCTGCTGGGGAGGGTGGGGGAGGCTGCTGCGAAGTAGCCTCTGTCCATGGCAAACCTGGGCCTGCTGCAGTCATACGTTGGTCCCCAGCAGCAGCCACTGTCTTCAGGGAGATCTGAGCGCCCCTCAGACGGCTCCTGTCCATAGCAGCAGCCCCTGTCCACAGGAGCTCAGACCCCCTGAAGACAAGGGCTGCTGCCAGGGACGGCTTTGATAGAGGCAGCAGCATGGGGCAGGAGGCAGGCAGCAGTGTGGAGCTGACGGCTTTGATACCAGCATTTAAATCTACAAGATTAACCGATAAACCTAGGCTTATCAGTTAATCATATAGTTGACTAGTGGGAGTTACCCGGCATTGCTCGGGAAAGTGGGGGGACAAAATGTAGAAAAATAGTAGTGCAGATTTTTGAGCCATGTCTGTCTCTGGTCTTGACTCTTGGATGCCCTTAATTCTATTTGTATTACACGTTGCTTGTCTAGACGAATCTGCCTTTCTTCTACACATTCAGGTGCTCTTGATAAAGCCATTCTTTTTGCACCTGCAGTCTTTCTTCCTAGCTGCCTTTTTTTTTTAAATGGCATAATATTTTTTTTAAATGCAATTTGTTGTTTATTGATACATTTTTTTAGGAAAAATAATATAATCTGTTCAATAATTAAAGTGAGTTACCGAAAAATAGTCAGTATACATTGTTGAAATATAAGTTGCCAGTTGATATAACTGAGGTGAGGAGCCTGAGGGAGGGAGTGGAAAGAGAGCTGCGTGCCTCTTCCTTGTCCCTCCGCCAGCCTTAGTGAGAGACTGTCCCCACCACTTCCCCCGGGAAGCCGCTTCTCCCCACGCTGCCAAGCTCTTTGCAGCCCCGGGGAGAGGCGTTGGTCCTCTCATCTCTTCCTTCCCACAGTCCCTTAAAACCTTCTCCTGGATGACAGGTTATCCCTCCGCTGGCCTTAGTGAGCGGGTGTCCCTGCTGCTTCCCCTGGATAAAAGGTCCCTTAAAACCTTCTCCTGGATAAAAGGTTATCCCATTCAAAGTTTGGTTGCGGTAGCTCTTATAGTGTCCAAGTTATTAGCATACAAACATTCTGCTTTATATATTAGATTACATGTTCACATCCCTAGTTTATATATCCTCTGGCCAAATATCTTGCAAAACATAGCAATGTTCTCAAATGTTGAAACAAAACCAGAATTACCACATAGGTTATTTTATGCATTTTTAGTTAGATTGTGATACAATGCTAATACACCTTTATTGTAAACCTCATTTTTGATGATGTTGACATAAAATATAATTTTATGTTTAGTATCTGGCATTTACCTGTGGACTTATCAGAGGTGGCTTATCAAATCTTGGAATAAAGAGTATTGTGACAGCTGAAGTTTCAGCAATGCCTGCATGTGAGTACATCTCAGATTAGACAACTGTTGTAAGGTAATTTAATATGTTTCCTTATCTACTTCAGGGGTTCTCAAACTTTGGGTTGTGGCTTGTAAGGGTAAGCCATTAACTGTCCGAGAGACGTGTTTTTATCTGAGCATTCACAGGCATGGCTGCTCCCAGTGGCTGCAGTGCACCGTTCCCGGCCCATGGGAGCTGTAGGAAGGGGTGCGGATTGGGCCACCACTTCCAGCAGCTCCCATTGGCCAGGAATGGTGAACCACAGCCACAGGGAGCTACGAATGGCCGTACATGTGGACACTTAAATAAACAAAGCATCTCGTGGCCAGGTAGCGACTTACCCTTACAAGCCGCAACTCAAAGTTTGAAAACTCTTAATCTACTTCATCACTGTTCAAGTGTTCAATGTGGGACTAGAATTTAAAACTGAATTAAGTGTGGACTTTAGAAAATGGTTTATTCTGAGTATTATTGAAGGTTGTTCTATTGAAAGAGTGGAGGAGAAGGTTAGCATGGAGGAAAACATAATAAAATAAAAAGCAAAACCAAGAAAAACACAAAGAAAAGAAAGACATGGGAAAATGAGAAGCAGCAATTTTGCCAGTTATCAGAGGGGTAGCCATGTTAGTCTGAATCTGCAAAAGCAGCAAGGAGTTCTGTGGCACCTTATAGACTAACTGCATCTGACGAAGTAGGTCTTTGCCCATGAAAGCTTATGCTCCAACACTTCAGTTAGTCCAAGGTGCCACAGGACTCCTCACCAATTTTGCCAGGGTGAGGCAGTAAGGAAAAGGAGACGGTTGAGAATTACTGTCTGAATAGGTATCGTCTCCTTTTAGAAAATGACTGTATTTGTAGAAGTCCCAGGTGCTATGGGATTTTGAGATTTAACTTTTTATTTTTTTAGTAGTAAAACTTGGATTATAGCTTGCAAAATGAACATGCTAGATATAGTTACTGACAAACTATCCAGTCTCTATTCTTCTCCAGTATTTTCATGAAACTAATAGGAGTGGTGACAACATAGCCTCACTGCCGACCACTTAAGTGCCCTCATAGGGTTTTGTATTTGTTTACATTGTTTTAACAGATTCAAAATTAAATTGATGAAACTTTGAATGTAGACAAACTTTAGTTTTATTGGTGAATAAGAGGACTATACTGTATCCTGCTAGCTCTTTTGAACAAAGTAATGCGAAGTCTCTGCTGTTAGAAAGATTTACATATCATACTGACATTTTGTAACTTGATTCTGTTTTTCTTTACAGGTAAATTTCAGGTGATGATACAGAAAATGTAGAATGTTCAGATCTGTGTATCTCCCCTTTTTAAAGAACCCCTGTGTACACTAAAGATTACTTTAGTTTTGCCTGTATACTTTATAGTAGCATGCAGCACAATTCCTGTATTATGTAAAAAATGTTAATTTAATAAAAATAGCTTAACACTATATTAATATCTTGGAATGAAATTTGTACGTTCTGTACTAAGCATTAAATATCCAGCATAATAAACATTCAGCTAAGTACATTTAGCAGAAACAGATGCATTTCTGTTACTAGAAGGCTGTATCATGAAGATTGTAGGTAGATGTATTTTTTTTTTTTTTTAAATCTTTAAAATTGAATTGAAAACTTGAATTATGGTTGTTCGGGCAACTTCTCCCCTCCCTTTTTGTTCTTTATTAGTGTTAGTGAGAACCCTGTAGGTGAGAGGAGATTGCAAACATGAGTTGTTGAAGATCTTGTACATTTCAGCAGCTGGGGAGGTTGGCAGAGTAATGGTATATTTATCAGTTACTGAAAGATGGCAGAGTTAAGGTTGCTTGAGCAACCTCAACTGTAAATTTCTGTTTTCAGAAGTTTTTTACTCAATTTAGCATTCTGAAAGGTGAAAACATATCACCAAACACCCTTAACTTTGCATTAACATAGGGATTTTTTTACAATGAATTTCCTACATTTTTTTGAATGGGAAAAGTTATGTTGTTGGTAGGAATTAGTAACTATTTAGGCTGTTGTAGATATGTCCCAAAACTTTTATACTGAGCCATCCAGAACCTTTTTACATCAAATCAACTAGGTTTTATCAGCCATGCCCCTGACCCCTTCTCTACTGGCAGGCTGCCCACCATTGCAGCTGGGAACAGATGTCCCTGAAACCTTCACTATCTGGTATACAAACTCATCTATAGAAGAGTTCACTGATCGTATGATCCAATGTGAGAAAAGGACAACTAATACAATGGAGGGGTGTTTTGGACCATGTTTTAGAATATTGGAGAGTGGTATTTGTGTCAGAAAGGGAATGATTCTATGGCCTTGGTTATGGAGGCCTTAGGGCCACCACCATCCAGTGTGTATGGATGAGGCATCTGTCATGATTATGAGGGTTAGCCAGCAGCCTGGGGATTAAGGGGTTAACTACTCCTAGCCAGGTGGAGTGACCAGTAGGAATGTAGGTGGGACTTTCAACCTGGGACAAAGGAATTTGGGTTTTTCTTTTCTCCCTTTTGTCTCTGGGAGGGAGTTCTCTGCAGCTACAGAGAGGGACAAGCATGTCTCTCTCTCTCCAAGACACCATTCTTCATTTTCTGTAAGTAGGGTAAAGTTTGGTAGTTTCGTTAGGTTTTATTGTTTTAAGGATTGGGTATGGGATCTGAGATCTGGCACTGCTTAAAAGATGTTTTGGCTTTTCTTTGTAACTAAGTTCTGGGCCCATGGAGTTTCTCCATGAGTATATTTTGTTACCTCCCTCTCCAGTCATTATACTTGCAACCAGAATATTGTTGTAATAATAAAAGTTCTTTCTTTTCTTTTATTAACCTGGCAGTGGTTAATGGTGTGCCCTGATTTTTGTTTTAGGGGGAAGATTTCCCAAATGATCTTTCCCCTGGTTTCTTTAGCAACATTTGGGTGGTGGCAGCGGAAGTTTTATTCCCAAGATCTAGGTTTTTAAGATCTTGGGGGAAGTTTTATACCAAAGCCTGGTAGATAAGGCTTTGGGGTACACTTGCTGGCCCCCACTTCTGCATTTATCATGCCAGAGTGGGGAAGGAGCCATGACAGCATCTATCTTCATTCTTTTGAGGAATGGCTTAAGAACCTACATCCCCTGCCTCCAGGTGTTGAGATACCATCCATGGATTGTTTAAACATTTACAGGAAGTCCCCAACTAATGAATGGGCTGTGTTCCAAAAATTTGTAAGCAGATTGTTTGGAATTCAGAATGCATTTTCACATGGAAAGCGTGGTAGCTAGGTTTCAGGATAGCCCCCCAAAGCCTATTTAACCCATAATATAGCTGAAATACTGTGCAATGAAGAAATAGTTTATTTAACCTTGAAAACTGGTGCTTGAGTGAAAGGCAGGTTTAATTAGAGGAGAATGAGGAAATAGGTGGTGATTCTGAAGTGGACTTTTGGGCATCTCCTGACTGCCACCCTCTCCCCCACAGGCTCCTGCAACCAGTCCCATCCTCTAGTAGCCCCTCAAGGCAAGCTGCTCACAGGGAGGCAGCGAGTGGTGCGAGAGGTCTCTAGAGGAGCAGGTGTTGGCCATACAGTTTGAGAAACGGTCATTTTCCCTATCAAAGTGCTGCTTCTTTCCAATTGCTGGTTGTGTGATTGCCCCCTTGCACCTCAAGCCAGCACTTAAGCTGCTCACTACCACCCATCCCCCTTGCCTGCTCTCTGAGACTGCAGGTGAGCTTTTGTTTGTAAGCCAGATGTTTGTAAATCGGAGTACCTTCATAGGCTTCATGTACTAAATCTTAATTAATATCTCTCCCCATTCAGTGTATAGGGAACCTTAGCATCTAACTCAAGCTGTATAGATCAATGCCTCCCTTAACCGGGTCTCTGTGGTCCGGCAACATCTGTGGTCTGGCGGAACCATGGATGTTCCTGGACCACAAAGCTCAGGTATAGGAAGGTCAGGCCATGGAGACTCGGTCGGGAGCCCCAGGGCAGCAGGATGGGCAGCGCAGCAGGGAGCTCTACCCACAGGGGCCCAGCAGTGGCAGCTGCTGAACTTTGGCCCCAGCTGCAGAGCTTGGGGTGGCAGCCCAGCAATGGTCGCAGAGCTCCAACGACAGCCAGGGAGCTCTATCTTCAGCTACAGAGCTCTGACCCCAGCAGCAGCCATGGCCAGGAGGGCAGCAGCAGGACTAGGCTGAAGCCCTAGCTGGGGCAGTAGGGCAGCATGGGCCTCGTTGGGAGGGACCTCCCCTAGTCTGGCAAATCCCCTCATTCAGGACCAGTCAGGTCCCAAGGGTGACAGACCAGGGAGGTCCAACCTTTGCAATACTCAATATCGCACCATCTAAGTCCTTTTGTAGATCCACCCTTCGTTCATGAAAAGGAAAGTGCGTGTTTAACAGTAGTTAATAGCTGTACTACATCGGTATGTTCAGTCTGCTGTGGCATAGTAAGAACAGGAGAGAATAGAAATTGTTAAATTTAAATATCATGAACACATTAATACTATATATAATGTAATTTGTAGAAATTGTTAAATTTAAATATCATGAACACAATACTATATATAATGTAATTTCCCATCTGAAATGTTTGAGTATTTAACACATTGAATAGCTTCAGTTTCTTGTATGTACCCAGACTTGACTAAGTGCCAATATTGAGTTTCTCTCTTGCTTTATAACTGCTAACAGAACACACAAACTAATTTAATCTTAAAGTGGTTGAATACATAGAAAGCCTACTTGATGAATGTATGAGACTATTCTAATAAATCCAGTAAAGTTACCAGGATTAAGATGACAGTATATGTCTAGAATAGATTATACTAGAGCCAATTCAAATCGGTGTACAAGCTTGTTCACTCAAATACTCATTATGCTCTTATGAGTAAATGTAATTTTACCGGTAAAATTAGTATAATTACAATTTTGCATCACTTAGAAATTACTGAACTAATATCCAGCATTTCCAGAACCTCTCCTCTACAGTGTATACTGAGCTAATTGAGTCCCTTCCTAGTAAGGAATATTGTTTTGTAGTACTGTATTAAAGGGGTAGGCAAGATTCGGCCTTGGGACAGATCCAATCTGACAAGCTTTTATGTGGCCAGCCCACCCACCCCTCCAGCATGGAACAGCACCATTCAAAGTGGCTGACTGCTCTCTGCAGTGCAGGGGGCAGGGACACTGTGCAAAGCCTCCCCACCTCCAGGGGCTGCTAGCAGGCAGAGAAGTGTGCTTGAGTGCTGCTGTCTGGGAGCTGTTTAGGTAAGCCTCTTCTCGCCAGAGCCTGCCTCTGGCACCCCACCCATTCCCAACTTGCTCCCTGATCTTGCATCCCAATCCTCTGCCCCAGGTCACAACCCTCTTTGGCCCCAATTCCCTCTCAGCCACACCCTCTCCTGCATCCCAGTTCCCTACTCTGAGCTCCCTTCTACATCTAACCTCTGTCCCAGGCCCCTCCATAGAAAGTGTGGCCCTTGACCACTTACCAAAATCCTGGAATGCCCCTCCCCAATCAAAAATTGTCAACCCATAGTTTAAATTCAGTACCTAAATTGTGATTTTAAAAAACCCAGTGTCCCTATGTATATTTAACATGATCAGTTCTGAAAAGTTGCAGGTTATAAATAGCAAAAGTAGAAGCCCAGAAGCATTTTTAGAAATACTCTAGCAACACACACACATACAGTTTTCAATTTTTTATTATAAAGTTTTACAAAAACCCTTTAATATCAGATTCTTTAGAAGTGTTCATGAAAGCTTTCTAGCTGCCAAGCTTTCATTTGTACAAAGCTTGGGACCTTGTCTTACAAATCTTTATTCAGATGAGTAATTCAATTTCAACAAGTGGGCTTACTGCCCAGTAACAATTTTTCCACTATCAGCTACCCTTGGGTGCTTACAACATCTCAAGTTGCAGATTGGTTTCAAGACCACTAGTTTTTGTAGAGAAACAGACTTAAAGAAAGTGGTTAGGCACTTCACTGTTGACCCTTTTGAGGTCATTAATTATTCAATGAGACATCAGCCTTTTGCTCAACACCATTCAAGCTCACTACCAAGAAGGTACATTTTGAGCTGCATTGCACCTGGCTGTTTAACACTGGTAGTGGTGTTTATTTTATAGTGATGCAAAACATTTACTGTCTCCAACCCGGGATCAGGAAGGCTCGTCAGCCAGATCACGTTGATCAAAATACCTATCAGAGAAGCACAATTTGAATATACTGACAAAAGCTAGTCAGAGAGTTAAGACATTCTTTTTCCTCCCAATTAAGTAACTGACAATGTATTTGCTGTATATTTTACTGCTAGTCTTTATTCCCAGAACATTTCTGGCTTCCTGCAAGTAGTTTTAGATTTATTCAAAAGGTTTCACTGTTGATCATGCGCCTCACATGAGGTTTGTTTTTTTAACTTTACTCACATCTCATTGAGGAAATTAGTATGTTTTACTATGATTTTTAAAAGGAAGTTATTTTAACTGAGCAAATGTATACCACAGAAGTCTTTCAAAAATATTGTCCTAGCCTAAATTCCTTAAAGCTGATCATATAGCTAAGATTTCTGTGCTTGATATTTACATAAATTACTCTACATTCTATTTAATAAAATGAAGCTTTCAATACCTGCTAACTAAACAGATTAGCAAATTCAGAGCAGACACTTTTTCCTCATTCTTGTTCTCCTGCAACAAAGGAATATGAAGTCTTAGATTATGTGTCTAGTATTACTTAACTGAAGAAAAGGGCTACCATTCTTATGCAATTTGTTGGGTTCCATAAAAATCCAGTAGTTCATTCTCAATATTTTGCTTTTTCATTCACTTGAATCTATAGATTCAGCCTCTGTGGTCCAGGACACTGGTTGAGCAACATCTGTGGTCCAGTAGGACCACAATGTTGCTCAACCAGAGCACCCCAGCCACAGAGGTTGCCAAGTGGCTGGAAGCTCAGCCCACAGGTTGCCCGGAGAGCCAGTGGCCTGGGAGCAGGAAGCCCAGGCAGAGCAGGACCAGGCAGGGAATCTTGCAAGTCCAGAATGGAGCTCTGCTGGCTGGGGGCAGGGAACCCTTCCCCCACACCGACTAAGCCAATGCCAAGTGGGAACAGGGAGCCCCACTGGCCAGGGGAAACGAGCTCAACAAGCTGGAGCAGGGTGTCAGCCAGAAGTGGAGCCCTGCCACCACCTAGGGGCAGCATGCTGGCTTGGCTGGTGGCCAGGAGGGGAGCCCCGGGAGAGCCCGATATCTGACCTTCCCTGGTCCAACAAGTTCCCTCCATTGGGACTATTCAGGTGCCAGACCTGTACTATCTATACACTGTATTAAATCAAATAACTTGGATAGATGAAAAATGAAATGCTTAGTCTGCAATAATACTGTCAGGTCATCCCCACCGTATGCTGACATGTAAGAATTTCCCCATATTAAATTGTTACTTACCTCTAGTACTCTGACTTCAGAGCATCTTCTTGCCAATTGCCGAATTAGTGAGTGGGCTTCAGGCAACAAAGGCTTTTCAAGGCATGCCAACAAAGCATAAAGCCATCTACCCTATATGGATTTAAACAAATAGTACAGCTTGGCATTTTTCAAATCAATTTTTACCATAATTAACTGGTAACAAAGATCCTATCCATTGCTATCCATTGCCATTGTATTGAATGCTAGTGGAGACCAATATCTGGTCCAAGAACACATTTGTATAAATATTGTCAGGATAGAGAGGAGCTGGGGGGAAAAACGGGTATCAAAGTTTGTTTTAATACCAACTGTGTGCTCTGCAGGGTATACTTACAGGCAAGTGAGACAAGTTACTACTGTTATGAGTTTCCTGATATTTATCTGAAATATACAATTCTTCATTGGGCTTCTTTATTGATATATAGAATAAATTAAAAATTACCAATTCTGAAGTAAACTCTTTCTCTCCAAACCAGTTTATCAGATATTCCAGGACGCTAGTTACTGTTGCCTTTTAAAAGAAAAAAAACACACCTGAAAGGAAGAATGACTATATAAAAGTTATTGCACTCATTTTTAATGATGTTTTCTGATATTTCTTTATGGGCAACTTCACTTTCCATAGTGAAATGACACTTTTTTATTTTCACGGTCTCGTGCATCTAGACAGGCATTTATTTCAGTCTGAAACTTGATATACAAAGAGAAAGGAAATTTCAGGATAGCTGTTGCTGACATTGGAAAGGACTGAGAATATATAGAAAGAAGAGGAATGAAGCCCAAAGTGGACCACGATATATAATTCAAGCACTTCTATTCAGTCTCATAATTCAGGATAAAGGGTTCATACGATGAAATTGAAAGATACTATTTAAAACTGTTAAGAGGCTATAATCACATACACAACATATAGTTAACTTATGTAACACACTATTCCAGATATTATTTGGGATAGTGAACAGCAGTAAAAGTGATTCCCTCCCTCAAAATGCATATGTTCTATATGTTTTTATACCAGTCATCATCATATGCAGGGCTTCCATGACTTTTCAGAATTCCACAAGGCATTCTGACAAATGCTGTTCTCCAGGTGGCTTGTAACATCCAGGATAAAATTCTACTAACAGTGATGTGGAGGTGGCCCACCTTATTACACTGGAGCATCAAATGTGTTCTGACATGGGACTTTTCACCCACCAAGCCCTTGAGGCCACACAGGAATGGGCCAAATGGCAAACAATTGCTACAGACAATTATTTGGTTAAGTACTGAAGAAGCAGTAGTAGTGTAGTAAGCAATGTGAAGAAACACATTTGTCATGCGTTTGTTCTCTCATCCTCTCCTTAGGAAGAAAAAACAAGTGCAGTAGAGTATCTTGTTTTGGTAGGGGAGTATCTTGTTTTGGTAGGGTTTTTATTATTTAAGTCACAAACAAGAGAATATATCCTCAGTACCAGGAACAATAACAACAAATAATTCACACAAACAGAACTACTTCTATTCAATAGTGATAGAGATGCAGCCCTGTTAGTCTGGTGTAGCTGAAACAAAAGACAGAACTATGTAGCACTTTAAAGACTAACAAGATGGTTGATCAGAGGAACTGGGTCTGGCCCACGAAAGCTCATCACCTAATAAACCATCTTGTTAGTCTTTAAAGTGCTACATAGTTCTGTCTTTTGTTTCTATTCAAGGACTTAAGTAACAGTGAGAAGGGTAGAGGTTTGTTAGTTTTATCATGTAAGATTCTAGTGGCAGGTTGCACTAATGCCTCAAGTTTTATAGTATTAATACAAATGGCACTCAACGATGGGATAGCCATGGAATTAATAGGAAAAATTGAAAAAAATAAACGTTTATAGTGAGAAATATTCTATTCTCGTAAGTAGAAATATAGACTTACCTGATTCATTCTGCTAACAATACTTAAGAAAGGAGGAAAACCAATCTGAAAAAGAAAAATCATGGTGGAACTATATTATACGTTGTAAATTAAAACCGAGTTTGAACACGAGGACATAAATCCACTTTGAAAACCCATTACAATGAAAAATATGAAGTCTACTAAGTATTAATTTTGAAAATGTCAGTTACAATTAATAATGGGAAGAGTAATAAATACTCCTGGGGGAATTCTTCAAAAATTAAAAATTCTGCACACAATGTTATACAATTTTACATACCTATATTTTACTTGTTAAAGTAACACTATATAATCATGTCAACTTCCATTATTTTGGTAATGAATTTCAAAGTAACTATCAGTAACTATGTCTAAGAATACAGACAATACAATTCCCACAGGAGCAGATAATTAATAAAACCCTATGACAACCCAGTTCCTGTTTCTCTGAATCCTGTTTCAGAGCCCAGATGGAGAGCCAGACACCCACACCTCTCCTTCAAGAGCCCAACCATGGGGCACACTATCCCAGACACTTGAACTTCCTGCCCTCCAGAGCATACCCGCAGGGTGGCCCCCCCATCCCAGTCACCTACTTTATTTACTCTTGGGGAAATTGTGTGCCACTGCAAAATTTGCAGAGAAATTTGAACCCCTTGCCCTTCCAGAGTCCAGGTGTTCAGAGAGAGAAATAGCCTGATGCTGGTCCCCAGCTTGTGTGGAATTTCCTGCACACTGTCTCCTACCTTCAGGAGGTGCTGGGAACCTTCCAGCTCTTCCTCTCCCTTCCTCCCTCACTCCTTCCACCAGTGTCTTCTATTTGTGAGCTGGGCTCTGCCATGTCTGGCACCTCCTAATGGCAGCCAACAGCACTGTAGCCCATTTCCATGGGTGTGGGAGTGGTTGTTGGGGGAGAAATTCTCACACAATTCCCTCAAGAGTAAATAAAGCAAATGTAAGTAGCAAAAAATAGTTATTCATCTAAATGTTAGCAAATACTGGGAGAGCGCAGATTAAAAAAAATAAAAAAATAAAGTCTGTCCTTTATGACTGCAATTTTTATAAAAAATATTTTTTGGATCATAGACTCTTGGGTCCTGAATTTTTATACATGTTTTCTGGCTCTCTGATATTTACCAAAGACCTTTTGGGCAAGTCCAAGAGCAATAACAAACATGCCTGAGCCCACCTCTTCTCCCAATTCTCTGTTCACACATGCTCATCCTAATTCCTTCCTCTTTGTACACACCTAGGCCTGATGTCTCTGTGGTTTCAGTTTTGCTGCTACCCCTACTAGTAAGCACAAACAAAAGTCTTAGGCTACATCTACACTATGATTTTTGCTGCAAGAGTCTATGCAAATGAAGCACATTTGCACTCTCTCTCACTCCATTTTTGCACTAGGGGTTTTTGTACAAGATCCTTGTGCCTCAAAAGAGGAGATATACCGATCTTGCACAAAAAGGAAACATCCACACTGACTATTTTTGCGCAGAAACAGACATAAGAGTATGCAAATGAAGTGCGAGAAAAGGCTAATCTGCACTTCATTTGCATGGGCTCCTGGCAAAAGTAATAGTGTAGACACTGCCCCAGGGAATAGCATATGAGAGTTTCCAGTAGAGTGACCTGCACAGTAGACAAACTGCAACTGGCCATCAACAAAAAATGGAGACTGCAGAAAATGCTGTTAAACTCACAGAACAAAACATTGTCTCTAACATGTTTAAATTAATAATAATCCTAAGAGTTACTTATAGTAGTAGACATATATTCACCTAAAAATTATGTAAGATCAGATTCTTGGCTTCACCAAGTTTCCACTCATCTTAGCAGGGAGGTAGGCAGCAAACTCATCACAGAGCCAGTTTTAGACTCAGATTGGATCTGCACTGACCTCAGCACTGCTTAAGCTGCTAATGAGATATAACAGTCAAGAACTAAGAAGGAGCATGAGTATTCTTAATGAAAGATACCTACCTTTATGTAATCAATTCCTAAGTTTTCATTACCAGACACTGCAATAGCTGCTTCTGAATATAACCTTTCACCCAGACAAAATAATTTCCAGCCTTCTTCATCATCAGATTTTGGCTAAAAAAGTTTAAATAAAATGGGCTACTATTAATACAATTCAGTATTTTCATTACACAAGTTACATATTTTCAAACAATTTATAACTCTGGTAATCCTGAGTTGAAGTTTAACAATCACTAATGCACCACCATTACCAGCAATAATACAATTTAACAGTAAATGAAATAATTTAACAAAATCCATTAGGAAATTCACTCACTATTGTAACATTGCTGTCCAAATGCTGTGCCTTCCAATGATTTCTGTGTTTGTTCAAACTCTGTAGGATGAAAATAATTAAACCTAATTTCAATTTATAATATAATCATTTTATTCTAGCTAAAGTAGCTTTTCATCTCCAAATTACTTACATTGGGTCTTTGTAACCATAACAAAATCAATACAAGTATAATGATCTTATTTTAAAAAAAAGAAGAATGTATGTTACTATAAAAATATGGTAAATAACTAATCAAATTAGTCACATATTTCTTTTACTTTAACAACGGACTTCAAGTTGTAAACTAGAATTTACTACTTTATAACCTGTAAAAGGCAGATGAAATAATGAAGAAAGTATGTTGTTGGATAGTCTACTCCTTACAATTTTACTTTAAATACGCCTTCATTTACATAGCTTTGATAGTCTCTAGACCCTTAAATTTAGGGCTATTAATCCTTTAAGATTTTTTTTGAAGTAATCTTAAAAAAAAAAAAAAAAAAAGAATTTGTAGCTCTTGAAGAACTGCCCTTGCTTCTGTTTTGACATGTATGTTTAAGAGAGCCAGCTTTCTCCTTTTACTGGATCTGGCAGTGTTATCACTTGTATGATAATCTTGCCTTTGAAATAAGCCTTAACCAGTACTGCAGTTTACTAGATGAGAACACTGCCTTAAAAGAACCAAAATCTTGTTTCAACACCAATACTAACCAATACAATAGGAAGAAAACAATCATGAGTAGGAGATTCTCAAATCCTGTATGGGTCAAGGACCCTTACAGTATCAAAAAAAATATTTGAAAAAAGATGTGTAAAATTAGGGATGTAAGCAATGAATCGACTAATCCAATAAGCAAAAGCTTATTGGATAGTCGACACTCTAGTTGACTAGTCGCTTCCCCCACCCTTGCTGCCTCTATCAGAAAAGAGGCAGCATGGGGTGGGGGGGAAGAGGGAGCTGGGTTAAAAGCCCTCCAGCTGCAGCTCCGTGGGAGAGGGCGCAGTGGTGATGTTCCACCTTTGAAATGTACAAGAGCCCCAGCAGGCCTTTGAAATGTTGCAACAGCAGGGTGGACTCTTGCTATATTTCAAAGCGGAAGCGCCCTTATCAACTAGTGGATGGAAATTCCATCGCCTATTCAATTAGTTAATATAATTTTAACATCCCCTATGTACAGTTTGGTCAAAACCAAAATTGGCCTGTGTTGGAATTATTCTGGAGATTGAAGTTTAAACCTTGGAAATGTAAAGTATATTTTCCATCCAGTGATTGTTACTTCAGGAAAGATTGTTTTTCCTTTTGGTTTTTAAAGCAGGTACAATGAGACCAGAACCATGTTAAAATGAGAATAGCTGACATATTTTATATAGGCATAATGCTAGCACAGAGGGCTAGCCTTCTGATTCTTCTGCACTATTACTCTTACACATTTTTCATGCATACTAACACTAATGCTTTTCCTTCTCACCATGCTAGATCTGTTAGAGGTAAGAGAGACCAGCATTTAACATGCTACAACAGGAATGTTAAGCTTTGTGATAAAAATCTAGTTTACTTTTTTTACTTTTTGCATTTTACCCACTGTGGACTATAGGAAAAAAAGGCTATTCAATTTCCTTTTTAGTTCTTATAAAATAGGACAACTTGAAAGCATAGTATGAAAGATTTAAGATACTGTGCTACCATAAGATCTGTGCAGATGGACCGTTCTATCCAGATGGGATTCTACTAAAGTACTCTATAGGTGCAAGGACCTGTCCATAAGCCTAGTTGTTGGACTGGGATCCAAATGTTTTTATTTTGTTTACTAATTAAATATTCCTAATACTACATGTTGTGAATTTTTGTTAGTTACACCCCCCCCCCCAAAAAAAAATCCCAAAGCTTTGTCCTCAGCTACCTGACAGAGATCCTTTATACACAGATACCATTTACAAAGACTTTGTTTTAAAAGAGCTAAAATGTATGATTGCCTTTTTCTCTAAAAACCTCTTGGTGCTGGAATATAATGATTAATTAGGTTTTCCAAAAAAAACAAACAAAAAGTACGTTTTCCAAAGACAAAGCCAGTCATCTACTTTATTTAATATGTTCTACCAGAAAACGTTAAGTCTTACATCTTACAATTAAATTTCACCTCCTCCACAAAAAACAGCACCACACAAGATGCCATCACATTCAGAATGCACAAGTTCAGGAACACTCTATTCTTTACCTGACGAACGGCTGAAAAATGGGACACTTGTTGCTGCTGCCATTTTAAAGTTGGAGAATATCCCTCAGGGGCTGGATGGCATCCTGTGAGCTAAGAAAACACAAGCAGGAACTTTTTATAACAAATAGTCAAACAGAACCCTAAACTAATCAAGTCTAAAACTAAGAATTTCCACTTAACGAACACATGAAAGTAGGAAGACAAGAAAAAAGAAAATTCTACACTAAGAAAACAAAACAGCCCAATTTGCACATTTTACAAAAGAAATGCCGTATTTTGAACAGCAATATGCTGAAGATATCCAAATGACAGATGAACCCCACTTTCTTACTGTTAATGGGAAAGTGCTGTTTTCTCATAATGATAGGGGAAATCCTCTAAAATAAAGCAAGTGGTCATTATTTTTCTCTCTGCAGCTGTAAATAGCTTATTTCGCACAAATGTAAATTTTACAAAAATTTTAAACATGTATATCGTATTGTAATATTCTTCATATCACAAGTGAGTGGATAGCCTGACTTGTACAGAATAAAAGACTGATCTACAAAAATATGTTGTTTTAGGGTCCTAAATTGATCTACTACAGGCAGTCCCCGACTTACACGGATCCGACTTATGTCGGATCCGCAGTTACGAACGGGGCTGCCCTGGAGTACACGGACTGCGGGACCTCACGGTCCTGCCGCCCGTGTACTCTGGGGCTTTCTCTGCGTCTCCCTGGTCTGCAGACCAGGAAGACACAGAGCAAAGCCTCCCTCCGGCTCCCCCTGCGGGGAAGCCGGCAGGGAGACTGGGAGCAAAGCCGCGGAGGACCCAGGCGGCGGGACCGCGGGGCGTCTCGGGCCGCCGCCCGGGTCTTTCC